GGGGGGGGCGCGGGGGAGGGTCTGGGGCGGGGCCTCGCCTTGAACTCTGAGGGCGTCCCCATGAGGTCTGGCTGCACCCAGCAGATCATCTGGTAGTACTCGTCCAGATTGTTCTGTAGATATTTTGGGGATATTTGCCAAAGTAGGAGGTGAGGACGGCCCCGGGTGAGCCGAGTATTGGGGCTTGGTTGGGTGTTTGGTTTGAGGGCAGATGTGGTGAGACAGATGGGCGGACGGGGACAGGAGGCATGATCGCAGTAGAGGAGGATGGGGAGTCTGGAGGGGTGGCGAATGGGGGAGCCACAAGGTTGGGGCAAAGGTTGTGTGGCAGGCGGTCGGGCGGCGGCCGTCCGGGTGCGTTGCGGTGCTGGTAGTGCAGCCGAAACGGGCCGGCAGGTGGGAATGGGGGTGGGGGCCGCCGAAAAGCAGACAGGTCTTTGCGACGTGGCCGCCGGAAGCGGGGGTGACGAGTGTTGCAGAATGTGCCCCACTGATGCGTCACAGCGTGACGGGAGCGGATTTGAACGCGCGAGTTTATGCAGGCGGCCCGGGCACGTTTTGGTCTTTACGTGCCCAATTTCAAAGGGCCCGAGCACAACGAGAAAAAAGACAACGAGAGGTGGTTCGAACGGCGCGCCTGCAGGGGGTAGCCCGTGAGCGCGACGCGCCGCATGGTGCCCAGCCGCGTCATGGCCCCGCAGCGCGCGGTCTTCTCGTTCTTGAGCTCGTGCGCCTCGTCAGCGACCACAACTGACGCTGAGTCGAGCAGCAGCCGGCCGACCTGCGGGGTAGGCGGTGGGGTGGCGACGGGGAGGTTGGTTGAGGTTTTTTTGAGTTGATTTGCAGGTCCTGTAAACTGGTTGGTTGGCTGCTTGTGGTTGATTTTTCGGTGGTTGGTTGGACGATTGGTTGGGCAGTTGCTGTGTGCAATGCAAGGGTGGTAGCACCGGGCGAGAACCCATGAGGTGTGGCAACAGCCGCGCTCACAGCATGAACGCGGTTCATACCACATGAGACGAAGAGGGGAAGGGGAGGTGTGTTTATGTGGTGCAGGGGAGGCCGTGCGCGGCGCGACGCCGCAATCACAAGGCCGAGTCCAACTAAAATGCGCTCCATCGAGCTGTGGCATTGCAACCATGTGTCGCCAACCCTCATATCGCACAAAACCTGCGCCATAGTGCCCTTGCTGTGCATTCCTCTGCAGCATGCTCGCGGTGCCAGCACCAAAAATGGCTGCGCCTGGGAGGTGCCCTGGGCCCCCCCAGGCGCCAGGAGCCGCTAACGAGCGCCCCCTCGCCTTCCGCCGCCCGCCGCACCTGGATAGCCAGCTCAGCCGCCTTTGCGTCCCTGCCAAAGCCCTTCCGCCGCCCCTTCGTCTTCCCACCGCCGCCGGCGCCGCCCGCCTCCGGCTGCAGCGCGCTGCTGCCCTCAGACGGCGGCAGCGCGCTGCCGGGCGCCTCCCCGCCCGGCGCGGCGGCTGCACCCCCCGCAGCATCGGCGGCGCCGGCAGGCTGCTGCTGCTGCTGCAGCGGCGGCGGCTGCTGTGTCTCCTCTCGCTGCTGCTCATGCTGCTGCCCCTGCGGCTGCTCCTGCTGCTGCTGACCCTGCCCCTGCTGTTGCCCCTGCTGCTGCTGCTGCTGCTGCTGCTGCTCCTGCTGCTGCTGGTGCTCCAGGGCACTGTCCATGTCAGCGACCATGCTGACCTGGCGATTCGGCATGGGGACACCAACACAGACACAACATGGAGCGAACCAATCAAGAAAGCTACGAGGTTCGGAAGTTGATCAGGCGGCGCCGTCAACAGTGGCGAGGCGCACGTGCACTGCACCCGCACCAGCATCCATCCCCCCACCCTGCGCCGGGAGGACACAAGCTCCCTCGCAGCTGCCCGATCAGAAGCGCCTCGCTCCTAGCCCCCGGCAGCTACCCACCAGCTTCCCATAGGAGATCACCAGCACCGCCCCCTGCGCCTGGGACCACCTGATTATGGCGTCCGACGCCCTTGCACCCTCGCATAACATGATGGCGCCTTTTCGCAGGCTGCTGGCGCGGCCGGCCGGCGACAGGGGGTTGGGCAGCCTGGCATTTGTGACACGGGGCCAGCGGCATGGGGGAGGGAGTGGGGAGGGGTAGGAAGGGTTATGCAAATTGTGGCGGGCAGGCGCCGGCGCACAGGGAGGGAGACCCGGATCCAAGGGGCGGCGCCTGCGTTTGGGCGAGAGTGCTGCGCGCAAGACCACCGCCGGTCCGGCACCGGCTGGCCGAGGGCGGCGCCGCAGTGGCGCGACAAAGCCGTCCCAAGATCGCGGGCGCGCTTAGAACGAGGTTGCTGCGTCCAACTCCTCGCACGCCCCTTCAAGGGTCCCCCACCCCCGCGCGTACACGCACACCTGCGCATCCGCGCATCCGCGCGCCCGCGCGCCCGCGCGCCCGCGCGCCCGCGCGCGCGCGCCCGCGCACACACACACACACACACACACACACACACACACACACACACACACACACGCACGCACGGACGCACACACACGAACGCACGCACGCACACGCACGCACGCACACACATACACACCCACACATCAGGCTTCCGACCACACCACGCAGATGGCCCTCTAAACCCTAAAAAACTCGTGCTGCCGCCCACCACTTCTGGAACTCCTCTGTCCAGTTGCGGGTGACGTTGGAGGGGCAGACCAGCAGAGCACGGCCGCTCCTGCCGAGTGGTGCCGCATAGGGTGGCCGGTGTGCGTGTGTGTGTGTGGGGGGGGGGCACGGGGGCGAAGAATGGGGGTGGAAGGCACGCGCGAGCGCCCGTGAAGAAGCAGTCAGAGGCATTTCAAGTGCTTCGACGCCGCTGAGGGCCGTTCAAGGCGCCCGCCATGCCACATCCCCCCTCCCCCCCGCCCCAAAACACAAACTGCCGCGAAAACCGGGGTGCGCATCGTGATGACGTCACTTGCGCTTGTCACGATGATGTCACCATGACATCCCCCTACCTGAACTCCTGGCAGGCGAAGAAGAGGTACAGGAAGGACACGGTCTGGACGCTCTTGCCCAG